GGGGGGAGCAGGGGCGCTGAACGGGGCGTGGCGAGGCCTCGCGTCCTTGCCATGTCCATGCCCCATGCTCGCCCGTGACTGTCTGACCGGCAGCGAAAGTCGTTCAAGAAGAAGAGAGATGGATAGAAAGAGGTGGCCCTACCTCGCCAGGCGCTGCCCCGCCCCACCTCGCCGCGCGTGCCGTGCCCCACCCCGTCCTCGGTCCCTTTAAAGCGCACTTAAAAACACACTGCGGTTCGGGGTTTATGGCGGGTGATCCCTCGCGCCTGCCCTAGCTGCATGGCAGAGCTAGAGATAGCAAGGCTTCCCCTCTGTAGGAAAACGAGACACACGCTCTGGCATAAAAGGGCATGTGCTGTTGGGGCTCAGACAGAGTCAACCCAGGATCCTGCCTGACGCGAAGCCATGGCCCACAGTCTTGTTCACGTAAGTGCCGGGCCGGGCCAAAGCGGGTGGCGCCAACAGCAGAGGCGCTCTAAACAACGTGGTTGCTTTGCTTACCAAACCGATTACGTTCCCTTTCGAATGCCAAATTTTTGCATTCTTTTCTTTGGCCTCGATGCTTGAGAAAGTTTTGCCTCCTTTGAAGGCCAATTTTGGCCGTCAGTCAGGAAACATCAATTTTTGGCAAGAATCTTTGAAAGAGCGCAAAATATTGACATTCAAAATGAAATGCCAGAATTTTGGTACGCACGCAAGGCGACCGCGGTGATTAGCTTGAATGTGCGGTACATCTGACTCGTTATCTAGCCGTAGCTCTTTCGTGCGACGAGCGACGATGACTTTTCTCGCACACTGTACATGTGCGATGTGTCGTGCAGCTCGCGCTGGCCGCGGTGGCGGTGCTCGCCGTGCTGCTGCTGGACCCCGCGGCGGGCCAGGCGGCGACGGCGACCTGTGACGTGTGCACGGCGGACGGCTGGTTCCCGCCCAGCGGCGCGGCGGCCGGCGACAACTGCCAGACGCAGTACTGCGTGTGCTACGCGCCCTACACGGACGTGACGGACCCCAACGCGGCCGCCGGCACGAGCGGCGCCTGGCTCTACACCTGCCCGGCGGGCGCGGGCACCGCCACGTGCTTCAGCCAGATCACCAAGAAGTGCACGACCTGCCCGGCCACCTGCTAGTGACCCCACGACGCGTCAGCAGAAAGTGATAATAAATGATTCTGTCGCTCAGCTTTCGGTTTCACTTAAACTTCCCCCTCCAACTCCTTCCTCCTTCCCGACCCCGCGCACCCGGGCAACGCTGCCGTGCTTCACGTGCTCGGACTGGAGCAGCCAGCGCGACGCTTGTTCTGAATGCCGAGATGCAGCATACGCAAGCAGACCGGGCACACGCCACCCGGGTCCGCATTTGGTCCGGTGCCAGGCGGACGCCAGGCCGCTGGAGCGCACTGCAGCGGCTGGACAACGCGTCCCTCCAGCAGCTGGGCTGTCGCCTCGGCCGCCGGTCGGCCCCGGTCCAGGTCCAGGCGCGTCAGGGGCGCCGCAGCCGCCGCAGCGCGGCACCTTTCTCGCCTAAATAACGCGAATCTCGGGCGCCCATTAGGACGGCGGCGGCGTCGAGTTTCGATCGTCCGGGAATGTTGGCAGCCCGGCGTCGTCGGTGGCGCTATCGAGAGTATCGATGGAAACGGGTCGTGTCGACTAATCGTCCGTGGGCGGGGCGGCGGCGGGGACGTCGTGTTGTGTGTATGCTGTTCTTAAGGTTTCGCTTCCGCCGCCAAGGGTTGAGCCGCTGCTCCAGGTGGACGCCACCGAGGCAGGAGCTGCGGCTGCCCGGGGAAAAGTATAGTGCAGCGACAGGACTTTTTCTTATTTTTATTTTTTTAAGAGAAAAAGGAAACAGAGTTATTGATCGTTTAGTTTGCACATTCGTGTCGGCGGGACCGCCTTGAAACAATAACGCAGGGCTGGACGGACAGCAACTGCTGCATGGGGAGAGCAGGTGTGTCTCTGCTCTACAATTTTCGCCACGACTGATCGGGCGGGACACACCCTCCTCCCTCCCGACTGATATGACGTAACCTTGTTGCCGTCGAGGCAGAATTTTTGAAGAGCGCGCGGTGCGTGACACTGGCGCCACCTGCTGGGCGCGCGGGGGGCCCACGTAACCGCACGCTGAACTGAAGACGGGCGAGAGATTCCTCGAAACTGGTAATAATTATCTCTTACGGCGGCGAAAACAAATACTTTGGAGTTTTGAGCGGATCTCCACCACAGCTTATTGCGCACAAGAGAAAATTTAACAGTGTTAGCGCGGGGGATTTTGAGTCCGCGCGCTGGACCAAAAAAATAATTGAAAGGGCGAAATGGGGAAGCGGAGGTTGGCCGCCTGGCCGGGCAGATAAAGGAAACTGGGGAAGTGGCGAGGAATTCGGGGGGACCAAGTAGTTGTCGAAGTGAGGCATCTCTGGTCACGTCTCATTCGCAGGAAGGGTTGCATCACCACAGGTCCTGGTGGCGTCGCAGTAACAGAAGCGTTGTTCCGCAGGAAAGAGTATTACCCGGCGGCAAATGTTTGGTAGGAGCAAAGACAGCTAGGGAGGCCCCATGATATTATGTTCCTGTTTGAAATACACCTTAAATGCACCCCATTAAATCTGAAAAATTTAAAACATGCTCGTTGCTCCCTGCTGGCGCTGACTTCTACTTTTTCAGGGGACTCAGGGCGCCTGTGAGGTAGGCACTACTGTTACGCACGGGAGCTGTGCGGTACTGCCCAACCCGAGCTCGTCAGGCGCTCCGATTCAATGTATCCACCACGGGGACGATAATTAGAATAGTGCGACAATACACCTAAAGTACTTTCCTTCAGCCATGGGTTTCTCATAGTTTCCCTGACTCCAGCCTTACACGGCTCCACAGACCTGATCACGCGAGGCGCCTGTGAGGTAGGCACCACTGTTACGCGCGGCAGCTTTGCGGTACTGCCTATCCTGCCTCCGTCAGGCGCTTCGAGGAAAAGACAAGTCACTTTTCACCAAGTGAAGTGTGGTGTACGGTGCGGAAACACTCATTCTTGCAAGTACTCAGTACTCGGCAGGGGTTCGTCGTGCTGGACGCACCCTTCGGCTCCAGCCCGGCCGCTGGAGGCTCCGGTGGAGGGGGCAGCGGTATAAGACCGGCGGCCGGGCAGGGGGGCGGGTCAAAACCACGCTGTGCGGCGCGCGGGCCACTCGCCTCGAGAGCTGCAGACAAACTGCGCGCCATGAAAACCTGTCGCCTGCTGGTCAGTGAAGTGTTGTGTAGTGCAATGAGTGACGAGTAGTGATGGAGTGTCAAGTGAACATCGTCTCGGACGACAGTGACGCAAGAACAAAGTGTTGTGCGCGCCAAACCTTGGATATTATTCAGCAACTTGGAGAGGGGATGAGTGGATCAACGAACTTAAACAGCTCAAACTGTGATCATTCTGAAACAGAAATCGAAAGTGTAAAATTTCTGAGCGAAAAGGTTGAAAAACAACAACATGGAAATGATAATTGGGTGTTTTTGTTTATTTGTTATGAAAGTGTTAAAATTCAGCAAAATCGGAGGCCTTTGGGCGGGAGAGGTCGAGGATGTCTTGTATGTGTGTGTCGTGTGGGAGAGAGTGCTCGCTGGACAGGCCCCAGCTGACAGGGCGGGGTGGGGTGGTTCGGGACGATGTGTGGCGGGGCGTGGTGGGGCGTGGTGGGGCGTGGCGGGGACGTCTACAAGTTCACTGGCACTGAAATGCACCCCGGAGCAACGACGGGCGCCCGCGTGTCTCTCTCTTTCTTTCTCCCCCCCCCCTCCCTCTCTCCCTAATAGGGCGACCAAGGAAATGTGGTGTGAGCGAGCGAGTAAAGTGAGCTGGAGTAAGTGTAAGTGGTGTCAGCGAGCGAAGTGAACTGGAGTAAGTGGCCCGAGAGGCGAGCTTCTAGAAAAAGAAAACGTTCGGACCCGGGTGGCTCTTACCTCGTCGATAAGAAAAGTTTCACAAACCATGTTAAATCTGGATATTAGTTTTGTTGATGCGTTGAACCCTATTACTGCCGGTGAAATCGATTTGTACAAATTTGCAAAACGGTATGAGGTTGTTGCTAGCACCAACCGCCGGGGAAGGCACTCAGCAGCGGGACGTGCTACACATACGGGTGTGTGTCGCTTGGAGGGGGCAGCCACTTTTTAATGCAGAAACTTCCAGTTTCTCATCCTCTGATCAGGTGTTTCCCTGCGCTGACAGGTAGATTGGAGGGGCCCTGGCAGCGGCAGCCTCACACGAGGCCAGGATATCTCTGATTCATCGGGGATCCGATCTGGTTTGAGATAGAGCTTGGGGGACGGAGGAGGTGGGACTGGATCATCTCACAAATCAAGCCCGCAGACTCTATCAGTCACGCGATGCCGTCTTGTTATTGTCAGTCAACTTTGTTGTCAGTTTGATTTGTTGGTGTGCGGTCCAGAATGAAGTCCTGTTAAATCTCAAATAAGAAAACACATCGGAGCCTGGAAAAACGGTGGCCAGGGGCACGGTTGCACTTCCGAGTTCTCCTTCCGGGAGGAGAGGGGGAGGGAGCACATTTGTTCGCAATTATAATCAGTTTGGACATTGAAAAAAACAACTTTAGATTTAATCTGATCCATCCACATTTTCGGTTGCTCATTTATTACAGTTTCACTTCCCCCTGTGGAATGTGGGATTTGTAGGGTATACGGCATAGCTCTAACCAACTCGGCGGTAAACGGTTTTTGCTCTCCGCGCGGAGTATAGTAGAGCCGCAGCAGTAGTAGCAGCAGCAGCAGCAGCAGCAGCTATGCGTGCGAGAGCAAAAGATAAATAATATCGATGCTCCTTTTCGAAATTCATTACCAACTCTTCCTCTCTGATCAGCGCGAGCTCAGCTCCAACAGGCGCCCCCCGATTAGCGCGGGGTAATTGCCACCGCTGCCGCTGTTTGGTCCGACGCACCACGCGGCCCGCTATACTTAGCATGTTTACGTTTTAGCTCCGCTACTGGGCGGACTGCTGCCGGGCATAAACACGGCCAAATCAGCAACAGGATGCATGCGGTCGCACTGCTGCTCAGACACAATCCTTTTCTTATTTTTCCCTTCCGGAAGTAATGCATGAAAACGTTATTTTTTAAAATATTAAGACACCTGCTCCCTTTTCAAAGATTGGAGGCAAAGGGGAAGAAGAGGTGCATTAGTGGGTGAAAGGTCTAGGACGTATATGGTGAGAGCATAATGAGAAGTCGTTAGGATTCCTCGATGGTGTCATCTATCATGCGATTTCTTATGTCAGATCTTAACTGCCTGAATTATCGTGGCGGGGCGTTGGAACTCCCCTGCCGTAATCTCTACTACGAGATTGTGATCCGGCGACATAACTGGATCACTTTCCACTTCAGAGAAGGGAAGGGGGGCGCGGGGCGCTTTGTCGTAAAATGTATGAGAAAGGGTGGGGAGGAGGAGGAGGGGGGAGTGGGTGGAGGAGGTCGGCAGACAGGTGGCTGGCAAAGCAGTTGTGACGGCGTCGCCAACGCGCTCCGGGGCGCCGGCCGAGGTGTGGCAGGACACGGGGCGGCAGGGCGCAGCGCGGCAGGGCGAGGCGGGCCACAGAGATGCCTATGGCAATGACGCCCGTCGGTGCAGCTGCGGCCAGGTGCAAGGACCTCTTGCCGCCCGGAGCCCCTCCTGCCCCGCCCCGCCCCGCCCCGCTACACCACGCCCTGGCCGGCGGGCCCCACCGCGCGCTCAGCTCACTGCGACTCCTGCTCCGGGAGAAAAGAACAGAAGCATAAAACGGCCTTGTGTTTTGTGCAGGTGGTGCTGACGCTGCTGTCGCTGGGGAGGACGGCGAGGGGCGGCCCGCTGGAGCAGGCGCCCCCCGGCCCCCGCGACCCCGTCCCCCAAGGGAGCGGCGTCGCCCCCGCGCACTCCCCCGCGGCCCCTCAGCAGCAGCAGGAGCAGCAGCGAGTCAGGAAGAGGTAAGTTCCGTTGAGCAAGCGTCCGAAAAAAGTGATCATTTTGGCTCATGCACGATTAGACGGGAAATTTTTAAAAACGTCTTGCAATGTTGTGCTGGTCAAACTTTTTATTTGAAATAAACTAAAGCAGCTACGGCGCCATGAGCGGGTCCCATTAGCCCCACGGCGCCGCCGGGTTAGAGTAGACCAAGAAAAACTTTTTGTTAAAATGTTTAAGTTCACATTGCCCATCTCGTGCCAATCCATAAAAAACGCTCTCCAAAAAAATTTCAGCCAGATCGGACAATATTTGACCCTCCCGAAGTGGGTTCAAAGTTAACATTAGTTTCTTATGGGTCATAGGGCCAAAACGTTACACATTTGGCCTGTGGCTCAAACTATCAATCGTAGACAAAGGCCGTTATCAAAAACGTGATCTACGCTAAGAACCGAGTCAGACGACATGCCGCTTGTCAAAATCCTTCACAGCGTTCCGTAAAAAAAAAATATAGTTTTTCCGTTAAAACGTGTTATTTTTAGTTGTTTAATAAAATTTTAAAATCTAAACGAGATGGGGGATTTTGACAAGCTGCATGTCGTCTGACTCGGTTTTTAACGTAGATCACGTTTTTGATAACGGCCTTTGTCTACGATTGATAGTTTGAGCCACAGGCCAAATATGTAACGTTTTGGCCCGATGACCCATAAGAA